CTGTAGTACATTTCAAGTCTAACTCGAGAAATGAATAAATGTTGGTTGTCGGTTTTCCGTGGGCTTAAGGTCATGACCAAGCAATGTCACTCTGAGTCAATGTCTACTGTGTTTAACAATATATATCACTAACATATCTAAAAGCATAAAGACAGTTACATGAAATTCATAAATATGATGAAAATTTAACAGGAACACATGAAACTGACTAGAGGAATATGGATTTCTGAAATGTGCATTATTTTCAATAAAGTGACTTGAGGGGAACAATTATGTTTTTATTTTTATATGTGTGGATTCCCGGACGAGCAGTCTTTCTTTTTGTGCTTCCTGCATCCTCCTATATTGCTGTTTATTGGATAATGCTCTCTGGTTCTCACTTATGTCTTTCTTCTGTTGGCTTCTGGCAATGCTCGTGCACACCCTATCATAATTCTGCCTAGTAAATGGGGGGGGGAGCTGAACATATAATCTAGATCTATTGAGTTTTGTTGTGGTTATTGTTTTCAATACATTTGATACACAAAGTGAAAGAACATTCACTGCCTTTCATGAGTAAAGAAGCCTGCCCAGGGCATTTTTCGCAGCTCCTAATTTGTGGTTTAGGCACTTAATCTTTGTCCCTGATTCTACTAATTGTCAGTAAGTTAAAATTATTTAAATGCCACCCAACAAGCAATTGTCTTGAGCAATGACTTGAGCTTTTACATTGTTTTTCATTGTTTACTTTCCTGAGGTGGGAGAGGAATTTATCAACCACTGCTTATATAAAACCTATTATTGTCATATACAAAGAGTTATGATTTACAGACTGTTGATCCTGAAAGTTCTGAGATAACACATGAACAATTAGAAAAGAATTCCTTTCCTAGAAATTAAAATGCAAATATTAAAGGCATGCAATACCTAGGTCCCTACTTACCAATAACATTATTTGATGCCTAAACCCAATATATGACCTGAATATTATTTGTAAAGTAAATGTGTGTTTGTGTGTGAAGGGACAGTTTGGTTGTCATTGAATCCCAGGGCACTATTCTTTGTGGATCAAAACTGGTTTGTGTTCTGGTTTATGGATTAGATCTCCAGCACAGAATTGCCAGGATTCTGCAGAAAGAAGAACAAACTGGTCACTTAACTTTGGGTCTCTAGCAACTTAATTGATAGTATCCATATCCACTGAGGTTAGTGACAAATTCCAATTTGAAAAAGTTGTTAAAGCAAATGTTTGGAGACTAGAGATACAGACCCAAAAGTTCACCTATGCACTTGCCCCCACGGTCCCTTAACTGATTCTTTCAAGAAGAATGTCAAGGTAAATGTATAATCTCTCAAATTGACAGATTCTACTTTCCTTATTTGGAATTTAAGGTTTTTTTCCCCTAGATCTTATTTCATAATCTTCAAGAAACAGATGATGTAAGAAATATATATATGCCCTCTGGTTTGTAGCTAAGTAAAGAAAATATTTACTAATTGTTTTGGTCCAGTATCAGTCATCTCGTCCCACAGTTGTCAATAAAACCTACTTGGTTTCCTAAAATCATAGTATCTCTTGAAGAGAAGGCAGCAAAAGGAGAAAGGCAAAAAAAAAAAAAAAAGGCTAAACGTAGGAATTATGGGAGTTGGAAGGTGGTATATTCTAAATGTGATTTAAGAAAAGTAAATTACATTAAAATTAGATTAACATTAAAATAAAAAATTAAAAGTAATAAATTTAAGACAATTTAAATATCAATTTTAAACATTTACAAGGCAATCTACATTATTTAGATATGAACGTTTTCCTTATTCTTTTTTAGTATCCAAAGCAAAACCAATTCAACACAAGACCTGCTGCTGTAGTTTTAATGTGGGGAGAAATTGTGGGGACTAGACTGAAATGCTTGCCTTAAAACGACTTCAAAGGAAGAGTCAGCCTTGAAAAATTAAATTCACAGTGGCTTTTTGGGGGTGGCTCCTGGAAGAGTACAGAACTTATATGGAGGTGTCAAAATGGAAATTGTTTCAAAATAAAGAAACTTTAATACCATCTAGGTAGAGTATCTGTCTCTGCCCCTTTTGGGTTGAAGGATCCTGATGAATTGTGAGGAGGCCCCCAATTGCATCTTCAACTGATCTGAGTCTCCTACACACAACTAGAGGTGTCTGAGGATGTCTTTCCTTTCCTAGATGAAAGGGCGAGTAAGCTATCCGGAGCAACCCATCTTCTCATCTGGAATGTTTGTGCTTTGCCACTTGAGATTTCGTGCAGTGGAGACCAAGAGACAACAGACTTGAGGCTATTTTGACAAAGTAAGCAAAGCTGAATACATTAGAAAAACTTCAGAGAAGGGGTTATTCTATTGTGATTTGAGATATTATCCTTGCTCAAAAATACTTTACAAGGACCCTTGAGCACCTGGGAGAAGATGGTTCATGATTAAAAGGAGTTCATGTCATCACTGGGGTCTAATCATCAGGATACCCTGTAACTTGCATTTGCTAAGAGGTTGTGATCTTCCCAAGGCTGTTAAACTGGCAAACAGCAAACTCAAAAACAAGGTGCAAATAGTGCCCCTAAAATGTACAATCACTTAAGATTTGTAGCTGAGATGTCTTTATTTCTGTTTGTTTGCCTTCTCTTATTTTCCTGAGCGGTTGTGAATAACAGCGAGAATATTGCTATTTATATATTTAGGTATCTATTTAGTTTTCTTGGCTAATGTAGGCATCCTACGAGATAGTATCAAAGAAATTAAACTCACGAAACTTTTCACTGCTTTCATTAGTAGTCCATCTTGTTAACTTCATTAAATGAATATGATCGAGTTAAAAAGACTCGGGCTGTTTTCTCCCCATATATACCTTTTTTGATATGAGTTCCACAATACTGGTACATCCTACCCCCACTCCCCATATTTATCCTGAGTTCTCACTCTTTCCGTATATCAATATCGTACCCAAATTTCTGTAATTTCTTAAAAAGAAACGTGCACGAAGAACCTTTCAGAATGGTAGATAGCTCCCTTGTCCCCCATTTTTTTTTCTTAAACATTCACCAGATCCAAGAATCTGCTGCGCCTGACTTACTCTGAACTTAGTTTTCAACAGCCCGGTGGCCATGGCGGGGAAGTCTCGCGGTGCCCCAGTCTGGGAGCAGCGGGGTGGGAGAGGCGGTGGACCTTGCACCTCTCAGCTGGGTCAGAACTGCGCCCCTTTTCCTCTAGGGGCGGCAAGGAGCGCGAGCGGGGTCCCCAATTCTTCCCAGAGCGCGCACGCCCCCTGGCGGCCCGAACAAGAGGCTGCGCGCCGGGAGGATGGAGGGATTAGGGTCCCGGCCCCGCCCCACCTCCCCGCCCGCCGCAACGCGCGGGAGGCGCTCGGAGCCTCAAAGTTGTGTTGTCAAAAAATTTGCGCGGGCGTCCGGGCGCCGCCCACTCGCGCCCTGTCCCCGTGTTCCCCTGGGCTTGCTCCAGGGGTAGTGCCTTGGCGTCGGAGGCGCGGACCCTCATTCCTGGCCTTTTCCGTGGCCAGAATGACCGATGGGCCGCTCGCCGCCCGGAGCAGGGTCCTGGCCTGTCCGAGACCAGCCGAGCGCCCCTCCGCGCCCGGATGCGCGCCGCGCGCGGGCGTTCGTGCGCGGGGGCCGAGCCCCGGGAAGGGGAAGAACTTGTAATCGCTTGCAGCGGGACAATGCCGACTTTTGAACCTGTAACCACTAAGCAAACAACCCTTGTGCTCTCGCTCCACTGTCCAAACAGGGTTTATTGACAGGCGTTTCACAGCAACGCATAGCAACCGCGGCGGCGGCCGGGGTTGGGGGGGGCGTGCGGGCGCGGGGTCCGCGGGGGCCCCTGGGGGTCACCTGCAGCTCAGCAGACCCTGGTGCGGCTTCCCCCTCGGTCGGGAAGCCTCTGCCCCGAGAGGCGGGCCAGGCACTCTCCCTCCAACTTCTAACTCCGGGCGCCGCGGGCCCAACCCCAGAGCCCTTTTCTCAATCCTGGAGCGGAATGCGCTACCCGGAAGGGCCGCGGAATTGGGGAGATGCTGCAGGGGGTATTTCTGTCTCGCAGCTCGGCTCGTCCTGCCCAGCCCTGGGGGCATCTCCTCCCTCGGTGGAGGCGCTGATTAGGGCTCGAAGGTGCTTGTGGCAAGACCGACAAGGAGGGCAAAGCCCTTCTCCCCAGGCCCCGCCGACAGCGCCCAGGTCGATGGCTTCCAGGACCAAAAACCTCAAGGGCAGTAGCCCGGTCCCCAGCGGCTCCGCCAGATAACAAGCAACCATCACTGAAAGAATCTTCTTTTGCTGGGTCTCAAATTCCTCTCTGTGGGAGTAGCTGGGAAGGAGGGGGTGGGGAAAGGAAACCGAGCGGGACAAGGAAAAGGATGGAGTCAGAGGGGCCTCTCGGAAAGTTATTTACAGGAGACTAAGTTCGTGGAAACGTTGCCTTAGGAGAATAGAAAATCGAATTTTTAACTCGATGCTTGTGTTTCGCTGGATTGTGGGGCGTCTTGGGGAAAAGTGACTCACTGATGAGGGGAATGCGCGCAGTCGCCGCAGTGGGGATTTGAGGAGACGCTACGAGCGGGCTGTCAGCGCCCTCCCGCTCCCCATCATTCCCCCAGCTGAGAAGCAGCTGTGCGCTCAGCTGTGCGTTTTGCCCACAGGCACCCCTACGAGAACCACACATTCCACAATCCAAGGCTGGGCTCAGGCTCAGGGGCAGGGAAGGTCTCGGAACCTGCTCCCTCAGGCTTCTGACGCTCAGGGGTAAAATGAGGTTGTGCAGATAACCTTCTCCACCCCACCTCCCTGCTCTTTCTAATTCTCACTTGTAAGTAGAGAAAATATTTCATTTCTTATAAGATAATAATTCCAGACAAAATCGGAAGATGGTAAATACAAAATACGAAATCTGGAAAGCTCATTTATCTTTTTTCTTTTTAAAAAAAATCCATGTGTTCAAATTCCCCCCACCCCCACCACTGCCCTTCACCATATCACTTCTCTCCCCACGGATCCAGAAGGCTTTTTCAATGCTGGCTTGGATGTTACCCAGACCAACAACCCAAACAGCAGCAACAAAACAAAAACTCCCCTTTTTCATCAGCCCCAAGATTGTGAAAATGACAGGAAGTCCAGGTTGGCTCTGGCATTTATAGCACTGACATACATTCAGCCCAGAGAAGCTCTGGTGACAGGCTTTCTAAACAAGGCCCTGTCCCGGGCCCCCTTGTCAGGCCTGGAGTCCAATAACCACCCCCTCACACCATACACCACACATACACCAGCCAAGCCTTGCCTGGTCTGGGAAGGGAAGAGAAAAAATACAAAGACCTGGGGGTTCTGTACGCTTTGGTAGGTCCAGGTTTCCATCTCAGCTGTCTCTGGCTCCTGCAGTTTAAATCGTGCCTGCCCTTGAGGCAAGAGGGGCCAGCTGGTCCTTGGAGGGCAGTGAGGAGACAGCAGCCACTTTGACTCCCAACCCTGCCAGTCCCCTGAGTCCCTCTCTCCCCATGGCTCCAATGAGAGTTGCAGCCTGCAGATTTTGGAGGCAAAGAGCCAGGGAGGAGGGAGCTGAAAGGCTGGTCTGTTTAGCCAGTCCAGGCAATGTTTCTGCCAGTACTAGAGGAAGCCCCAGTGGTCATTTCCCATCTCCTCCCTGGCAGAAAGAGTCAAAATCTGGGAGAATGTCTTCCTTGAGGCCTCCAACCACACTTGTCTTTACCCCAGCTTTTCCCTCTGAGTGCTAGGGAAGTTGGCAAACATTTGTGGGTGGGAGGGGAGGGGCCTTTCCTGAGGATTCTAGCAGATTCCACGCTCCTCGTGGCTCAGCCTGGAATAGCTCTGCTGCTGCAGGCCGCTGCGGGTCACTGGGTGACAGTGGGGTTTAACACCGCCCCAGTTGGCCCCAGAACCCCAGCGACAGAGCCGGGCACCGAGCCTTGCAGGGAAGACACAGGACTCAGGGGCTCGGGGACGCTCCTCAGGGGGCCGGGCTGAGGCTGGGGGGGCTGCGGGGCAGGCGGGGGCTGCGGCTGCTGCTGCTGCAACTTCTTCTTGTTGATTTTCCTTTCCTTCGCTCTGCGGTTCTGAAACCAGATTTTAACCTGGACATGGAAAGGTAGAGGAAAAAAGGAGATGGTGAAGAAGGTGTCAAAGAAAAAGGGACTGTGCTCAGCACGAGCACCAGTACCTCCTTCTCCAGCGAAAGAAGTGCCCTCGGACCTGAGCGACTCCAGCCCTTCGCACAGCCTGTCCCAGGCTGTCCACTGGAGTGGTGGGGGGGGGGGCATTTCCAAGCCCCATTCAGCCTCAAAAGAGAAGAGCCTCCCTCCCTCCTGTTCCCCAGGTTTCGTTCCAAGGCAGCCTTTATCTATAACTTTACTGGAAAAGTTCAGAGTCTTAGAACCAATGGAAACAGAAACTGCCAGGCCCTTTCCACACCAAGCAAGAGGAAGCCAGTGCAGAAGTGCTTCAAAATGACAACCTTTGGCCTCTCATAGCTAAACTGAAATGTAATATTCCTCACCTTGGAGCTGAGAGTGAATTTTAATGTGGGGCTTCCTGGCTGTGAGTTTGACCTGTTTTTTTCCCAGATCATATAGAGAATTCATGCGCCAAGCCTCACCTTCTAGTTTTTATGGGCAGGGATTAGGGTCTTATACTAATTTTGCCCCCAGGATAGTGCTGGATCCAAAGAGTAAGTCTTTAAGTTTCTATTAACACAAACAGAATTCTAGGTCACACTAGACTCAGTTTTTTCTTGTACCTCCCAGATCTCCCAAAACAGAAAAAAAAAAGTATCCAACAACATCCAAAAAAGACAACTAGAGGTGGAAGAAGCCTTCTAAAAGAGCATCTGGGAAGAAAATACCCTCCATCCTCTTGCTTTAATCTGCCCACAGAACTAGGTGGATTCTGGGACCTGGCTTCTAATCCTCCCCGCGGGACTCCCCAGGGCAGTGACCAGGCGCTGGAGGGGTCTCACCTGCCTCTCCGAGAGCCCCAGCGTGGCGGCCAGTTCGGCTTTCCTCCGGATGGTGATGTAGCGACTGTAGTGAAACTCCTTCTCCAGCTCCAAACGCTGGTGGTCCGTGTATACGACTCGGTATTTGTCTTTCGTCCTGGTTTTCACTGTGGAGGAAGGAGAAGTTAGCGCTGAGAACTGCAAGGCAGCCCATCAGTCATGGGTAATGACAAACCTCCCTAACCAAGGGCCATTTCTCTTCCTCTGCCGCCCTGGGGGGCCAGGGTTTGGCTGTTTCCTGCTGAGTCTGACAAGACCCCCCCAGAGGGTCCTGAGGGGAGGGTGTGGGGCTATCCTAGACAGCTAAATCAGTCTTGGGATTAAATAGTTTTCTAAAATTAAGAAAAACTAAAAATTCATACACACAGAAGATAGCAGAACCCCACTACCATTTTTGTAAATCAAACATCCTGGAGTTGGTGAGGCCCAAAGGGAAAAAGGGTAGAAGAGAGTCACCACAGTCTTGAGGATATTCAGATATTCAGGCTTTTTAGGGAAGTCCACCCTAAAAACAGCTGGGATGGTGGGTATGGGTGTGTATGTTACTTTGTTTTATTAGAAATGGAAAGGGGGTGGCTTCCCTCAAGTCACCAGAAACACACACACACACACACACACACACATGCACACACACACCGCTCACCAGGCCTATCGGGTGGAATTCAAAGCCGGGGTCTGGCAGGCAGATAATCCCTCTCGCTGGGGACACTGTATACCTGGCTAAACCTGGTTTGGCATTTGGCATTCTTTCTTTTTTAATCCTCCATTTATTTCTGCTGCAAACCCTGCCAGAGCTATCCTGACCAGAGATCTATGCTCATTGGATTGAGTCAACATATTAAACCTTGGATTGATTGTTTTACTGAAGGGCCTTGACAAATAGTCCAACGCAGTCAGAGCAGGCCCGAGCCTGGCGTCTCCACCAGGTCTGTCCCGGGTCAGCCCTTGGCAGACCTGGGAGAGGAGCTGTTCTCTCCCGCGCGGCCCCAGGTCGGGGTCTTCTCCCAGCAGAACAGGTTCAATCGCGCGGCGCTCAGTGCTACAGGAAGATCTAAAGGGTCTGAGAGTTGCTTGGAGGTGTTTAATACCCCGCAGGCCGACTTTGTTCAGGTAAAACTCTTTGCAAACCACAACAAAAGCGCCCTGGGAGGATACAGGCGGGATCAGAGGAGGCTCCCCCGAGCCGCTGAAAGGAGAACACAGTCGCAAACAATGCAGGACAAGGCGATCTTATCAAAGAAAAGCCCTTTCAATGCCTTAATAACAACCGCATTCTGTTTGAATTACCACTACTGAGCAAATGGCGGCCCGGCTTTCATCCCCCTCCCCGCCAGGCGCATTAACATCAACACGGTCGGCAGGCGCATTTGAATGGGCGCAGCGGCCCCGACCCCGCGCCTGCGAAGACAGTAAAGGGAACCGGCACGTCCTGAGAGCCTGCGCTGCCGCCTCCAACCCACTCGAGCTGCCAGTGGTGGCGGCCGCTTTTTACGGAGGAGGAAACTGAGAATCAGACTAGGTCACACAGACAGTATAAAGCGGGGCTGGCACCGGAGCCAGGTTGGAGCCACAAAAGACACCTCCGGGGCTGAAGAGCCAGACACAAAATTCTCCGAGCCGAATTCTCTATTAGTGATATTCGCCTTGTGGGTGTTTGGGAGCGGCTCTGGCTCGGGGGCTGCCCTTTCAGTATCCCGGAGGGGCCAGAGCGCGCGGTGACCAGGACCTCTGTGCGCTCTGCAGCCCGCGCCCCAAGGGCCTTGGAGGGCCCCGCACCCCCTGGGAACCAAGGAGGGGGTTGGAGGAGGGGAGAGATGAGAGGGACTTGTCAGAATTCATTATTGACTGCGAAAGTCACCACCCTCTTTCCGGGCCCTAAAAGAGACAATGGCAGGGCTGGGAAGGTGTATATCAAAGCGGGTCGGGCCGAGTACCACCAGCCCCCCCCCCCCCCGCCCCTTGACAGATGACACTCCGCAGAGGAGTCCGGCTCCGGCCCGCGGGCCGCGGCCTCCCCACATTAACATCACAAGGGCGCCCGGCGCCGACTGCGGGCTTGCCACCTCTGCGAGGGACATCACAGCGGCCTCTCATCTGCCTGGGCTCCTGCGGCTCCCCTCCCTCCCCCCTGCCCGGCCACAGCTCCATAGACACTACCCCGAGACGCCAAAGGTCTCCCTTAGGCCGCCCCGGGACCCGCCAGCTGCTCCTCGGGCGGGCTCTGTGGAAAAGGGTGTCCCTTGGGAGCGCACTCTGTACAGAGAGGGCGCCTCCTCTTAGGAAAGGGACCCAGCCGAGGGTCCAGGTTGGCCCTGAAGCCTTCTCCCAGGGAGGCTGTATTTCCCACCCGGTCGGTCTCAGCATGTGCCCAGTGACGCAAAAACTGATGCCCAGAGACAGCCCCCAACGGCTGCTCTGATTTATACGGCTGTAATTGGCTATAAACCTCTGCAAAGTGGCCATAACCTGCATGCAGGCCGGGCTGGGCTAGAAAGGAGGGAAGAGGAAAAAGCGGAAGTGCGGAGGACTGGGAAAGATTCCATGGAGTAAAAGGGGAGCCATCAGGACTCTCCCAACACACCTATTGAACTTCCTTCCCACCTTGACACACATTATCACATCGGAAGGGGCAGACCCGGAACCTAGAGCCCCCACAGTCCGGCAAACCTAGGATCTTTGCAGAGACATCTCTGGAGCAAGCTTCTTGAACGTATACGCTCGCTCGCGCGCGCGAACACACACACACACACACACACACACATACACGATCCTGGCAAGGAGGGTTCCGGAGAAATGATCCCTGTCTGGAGCAGCGGCCGAATTCCCACCACCACTTCCTCCCCTTCTTCCTCTGCAGACACGAAGGAACTCCCAGGGCATCTTGTCCTAGTCCTCCAGGTTTTGATTGAAATAATCCCTTTGCAGATCAAAGGTTCAAGATTGGGGTGCCCCCCTTCCTTTAGCTCCTGGGGCTAACACCTTCTTTCCAGCTGCAGCAACTTTGCCGGTTCTCCCTAGGCGCTGGAGCTCCGATTCCTGAAGTTGGATCTAATGGCCAAACCTGGTGCCACGCGCAGCCTCGCCGCCTCCTGGCCCCCAGGCCACCACTCTTCCCAAGTGGCTCCGACGCGGGAGGAGGATGTGCACAGTTGGTCTAGAGCCCGGCCCGATGGAGGTGCTGGGAAGCTGCGGCGCACCGAGCGAGTGGCAGCATGTGGGGAGGGCATCCCTACTCCCGTGCAGCCAAGCTCCGCCGACATTCCCGGGAGTCTCCCAGGAGTGTTCGGACGTTATGAATGAGGGACCGCTGGAAAGAGGAAGCCTCTCCTCTGCCCTAAACTGAACGTGGCTCGTGAGACCAAAATACTCACTCCCAACTTCCATCAGCCCAGACTCAGGGAT